GTGAAGGAAAGGGGCACATGTCACACACATGCCAACACTAGCAGTTTCATTCTTAGGGAAGTTCTTGGGCAAGTGCACTGGGTCATGAGAAAGTTGATAGCTGCTCTCTCTGATATGGCAAAACATAGAGAGTGACAGGGTCACACAATGGAATATTACGTAGCACTGAAAATGTCAGTGAATCATAGAGACATACAAATGAGGCTGGACCAGGTGGTCATGCCTATAATCCCAATGTTTTGGAAGCCCAGGTGGAGGATTGCTTGAGGCCAGAAGTTTGAGACCAGCCTGGGCAATGTAGTGAAACCCCATCTCTCAAAAAAAAAAAAGAAAGAAAGAAAGAAAGAAAAACAGCCAGGTATGGTAGCATGTACCAGTAGTCCCAGCTATTTGAGAAGCTGGGATGGAAGGATCAGTTGAGCCCAGGAATTTGAGGTTGCAGTGAACTGTGATTGTGCCACTGTACTTCAGCCTGAGTGACAGAGTGAGACCCTGTCCCAAGAAAAATAAAAAAAATAAAAAAAAAAGAGCAACCGGGCACGGTGCCCCATTCCTGTAATCCCAGCACTTTTGGAGGCTAAGGTAGGAGGATGGCTTGAGGCCAGGGGTTGGCAAGCAGCCTGGGCAATATATTGAGAACTTATCTCTACTAAAAATTTAAAAAATTAGCTGGGCGTGGTGGTGCACACCTATAGTCACAGCTACTCAGGAGACTAAGGTGGGAGGATCGCTTGAGCCCAGGAGTTTGAGGTGGCAAAAAGCTATGATTGTGCCACCGCCTCCAGCCTGGGCAGCAGACTGAGATCCTGTATCACACACACACAAAAGAAGGTTCAAGAAAAGCACCAGCTGGGCCCGGTGGCTCACGCCTGTAATCCCAGAGCTTTGGGAGGCCAAGGTGGGTGGATCACCCGAGGTCAGGAGTTCAAGACCAGCCTGACCAATATGGTGAAACCCTATCTCTACTAAAAATACAAAAATAAATAAATAAATAAATAAAAAATCAGCTGGGCGTGGTGGTGTGTGCCTATAGTCCCAGTTTGTCAGGAGGCTGAAGCAGAGACGGAGGCTTGGACATGGGAGGTTGAGGCTGCAGTGAGTCAAGATCGTGCCATTGCGCTCCAGCCTGGGTGACAGAGAGAGACTCTGTCTCAAAAAAAAAAATTGAAAAAAGAAAGAAAAGAGAAAAGCACATCACAAAAGACTGTATTCAAACCACTTATCATTTATGTAAAGCTCAAAAATGAAGCAAAGTTGGGAAAAATGCAGGGGTCCATAGGTAGTGAACCTACTTTTAAAAGTAAAGAAGTGATAAACTCAAAATGTAACACTGTGTAGACGGGAAGGCCGGAAGATGGGGAAGCCGAGAGGAAGCTTCAGAGACAATGACTGTGGTAGTTTTTAGGTTGCTGGGGTCTCCTGGGTATTTTATCTTCATAAATTAACTTTTATATATGTAGCTTTTACATACATTACATATATGCATTTGCATGTATTCAATATTATGCAATACATTAAAAAACAATGTTTGCAATGCTAGAAATACATTGTTGAATATTCTATGTGAAAGCTATGCTGTCGTTCGGGCTTTTCATAACCCTTTCAAGCCCTCTGGGTAAGAGCAGTCCTCCCTTATTGCCCTCAGTGAACTTCACCTTCTAGAGACTCGGATTTTTTTTTTTTTTTTTTTTTTTTTTTTTTTTTTTTTT